TTCTATTCAGCGATCTTTTATTTAAAGAAAAAAAAATAGATTTAATGAATAAACGTAAAAGGTATATTAAAAAGTAAGTCAAAGCTAGATAAAAAATTATGATAATTTGGATTTATTGGTTATTATTTTGGTAATTAATGATCCAAAAATACTTACAGTTATTATCTAACTTCTTTCTTTTATTTGTATAACAATAATGTGAAAAATTACTACTTGAACACTCAGTGAAAGACACCAAAAGCCAGTGCCTAAAATTCAAGAAATGCAGTGCAGTATTTCAAAATGTTCTGAGGGGGCATGCCCTGCCGCCCCCTAATATGCCTGTGACATAAATATTATTACATGTATTATGAACCCTAGCCCTGTTCTCTGAACTTCAGTTTTTAATATAAGCCGCTCATAATTATTTCCAAAATTAAAGGGAGCTTATCAGGACATAAGATCAATAAAATGAAGCGTGTGTGATTTAGTGCCCTTATAACCTATTTCTAGAACAATCTAAAAGGGATAACCAATTATCGGGATAGACAAAGGGAAGCAACCTGTAGATCTTAAATATGTAACTTAATTCAGTTATAAAAATGATAACTGCTTTAAGTTACACCCCTGACTGTAATAAAAAATATAAACGCAGTCGCTGCATCTCGCCCAGCAAGATTAATTATAATTTATAACAGGAAAATATATTACTTATTGTACAAATTGCACCCGTTATTGGTGTAAGCTATTGGTTATACCACCATGCCGTTACCCAAAACAATGTTATTTAACGTTAAAATCACTAGATGAAGCTGGAAGAACTTCTTGGGCTAGCAAATACGAATACTTCTGTACAGTTACGGATTTGGTTACATTTGGATTTCTCAAGAAATAGGAGATGTGAATATTTTTGTTAGCAATTTTAAACAACGCATAATAGATTGTTATACTCAAAATTGGCATAGTAATATTAACAATGCCAGTAGATGTCACCATTATTGTTATTTTAAAAGCTTATTAAATGTAGAACGGTATCTTCTAATAGAAATCCCTGTAAAACATAAGAAAGCATATGCTAAATTTCGATGATCAAATCACAAACTAAATGTTGAAATCGGTAGGCATTTAAATATACCTTTTCAAGAACGCTTTTGCAACTTTTGTCTTGAAAATCATTTAACTTATAATATTGACTGTGAATATCATGAAAATTTTTTCATTGTAAAAAATATTTAGAAATTAGAAATACCTATTTACTAAACTGGTATTATTCCGGAAATAAACTACATAACTTTTATGAATTACTTTCATCAAAATTTTAATGATATTTTTATAATTAAGAAAATCTCTACTTATATTTACCACCTCATGACATCTATAGCACAGTAGCATTTAAATGTAATGATTGTCAAAACTTGTAAAAGACACAACCTTATAATGTTAAATACCATATTTTGTATGACATGTATTTTGGGCCGGTGGCCTTTATTTACTGAATAAATCTTTTGATTTGACTTGACTATATAAAGATATACAGTACGATTTAGATTGCAAAGATCAGAAAATACCACAGAGCTTACAGCCCTTTGATTGCAAATGGTTGCAGAAAAAAGAGAATTAGTAAACCCAAACCTAAATCTAACGAATCTTTTTGAGTAGCTTATTTTTTTTGGTTTTGATTATACATGTATTGTTTAGGAAAGAAATAATATGTAGTTATAGATATATGTCAACTTTGTTGCAGAAAAACGAGCATTTCTAGAAAACCTAGTATCATTTTGTATAGGTTTTTTTGTTGTTCTCAGAAAAGAAAGGGTGATTTTTTTTTAAATGTAAATTGATTGTGTGCTGTTGACTTTCAGCCAATTCTTAGTAAAGCTCAGAAAACAATTGATTTCGTAATAACAATAACAACTTTCGTTTCGAATAATATAAAGGTTTCGATTTCTTTGTAGCAAATAAACATAATTAATGTTGTTTTTGTTAATTATTCCTATACTCATACCATACTTTTTGTTTCGAAATGAAATGATGAAATAATTGTTTCTGCTAAGCAGATACATGCAGGCATCTTTTATTTAGTTAGTTTTCATTTTAATTGCATGGTTGTATATTTTCTGTATGTTAAAAGTGAGTTAGTGTCCGGCACATTAATGCGCGTGTGTGTGCGTGCTTGCGTGCGTGTGTGAGCGTGTGTGTGTGTGAGTGAGTGAGTGAGTGAGACATTTGAACTTTGATATAAGACATGGCTGTATGGCACGTACATCATCAAATTGAATGAAATACGCGATACTTTTATTCACAAATATGCTTTCAACTATAAATCTAAAATAAACATTTATTTTATTGTCGGATATGGTGTCAAATACATAGCAGAAATAAGATTTCCACTTATAAGAGCCATTAGGGCAAACTGCTTTGAAGTTAAGTGTGAAAATATATAATAGTTTCCTGTTTCAAAACGCACTTTATTCCGGAAAATTCAATGATTCATCATAAAGTATGCTAGCGCATTACGAATTATGCAGCGCTGCATTATGTAGCAAAAAGCAATAAGTGTTTAATATACTTTCAGTTTCGAGATGATACATGTATACATTTTCAGTTTTCCAGAAAAGTGAATGTCGTCTGCTTTCTAAACGTATATAAAGAAATGTATTCAGGATGTAACACAGTGTAGAAAAATAATTTAATACAAATTGCGCGTCTCTTCGTATAAATTTGAATTGTTCATATAATAATTGCTTTGATTTGATAAAATAAGAATCTAATGCAATAGTTAATGACAGTATTTTATGCGAATATTATTTCGTATTGATTTTTGTGTAAACATTTTGAATCTGCATCTGAGATTTATCGTCTGCTAGTTAAATTGCTGGCATAAAATGGTGATATATTTAGAGATAAAAGGTGAGGAAGAGCTGAAGTTGGGAGATTTAATCCAATTACCACGATTAAAAGGACTGTATTCACATTGGGCGGTTTACGTTGGTGAGTACTTTAAACTATGTTATAACTTACAAGTATACATGTATAGGTTAGTGTTTATTAGTACATGTAATAAACATTTATAAAATTAAATTTGTCAAGAACGGCGCATTTAGTGATTGAAGTTTTTATTAACAGCAATCTGAAGTTCGTTTCTACTTAAGTTATTTTTTTGCATATTTTTTTCTGATTAACACCGCATTTGTTCCGCGCTCATTGTGATTCGGAATTTCCAGAAAGCTATTTTTAGCCATGTAATCGAACCGTCCTTCACTAAACGAAGTATCATGATATCGAAAAAAGTAAAACAAATAGCTGATTTTTGTTAGAAAAATGTTTGAAGTAATTTGAAAACAAATCAACTAGGAAAAATAGAGTCAAGTTTTAATATGTTTATCTCGAAATCGTGAAAATTACCAGCTAAGTATTGGTTTTCCAACGGTTTATTAAGAATCCGCATCACTTTCAAAATTGTCAAAAGTCGCCGGTGATTGGTTGTTTGAAGGTCCAGAGAAGTTGACATCCTATTGGTATCCGTCAGATCCTAATGCGAAGCTGATCTAATCAGATTGTATAAACAGTCGTCGATTTACTAGACTGTTTAATTGTTAGCCGATTTACCATTTTGAAAGAAAAATATGATACAATTCATTTGAAATAATTTTGAAAAAAAAACCTTATGTTTAAAGAGCATCCATATGCAATAGGTTTCAAGAACATTTTTTAGTTAAACAAAAAAACAAAACAAAAACCTGTTACATATTATAGCTGAAATTGATAACCAATTATTTCTATTCAGCTATATGTAACAGGGTTTTTTTTTTTTTTTTTTTTTTTTAATTTCTATTCATAGACCGCCTCCGTGGTCGAGGGGTTAGAGTCGATGACTTCTAATCCAGTTACCTCTCTGGCGTGGGTTCGATCCCCGGGAGATGCTTTGGTAGTTTAGCGCGGAGGAAGGTAGTCTAGTACTGGTGTAACTCTCCAGGAACGATGGTTAAGAAACTACCCGCCTATATGACTGAAATACAGGTTGGAAAAAGGCGTAAAATGAAACCAACAAACAAAATTTCTATTCATTTTTTCCACATGCATTTAACAGGAGGGGGCTATGTTATACACCTGTCTCCGCCACCTTCTAAATCAAGCACTTATGAACTGTGTTCAGTGGTAGCAGCGACATCTGGCGTTTCAACTACTTCCGGTGATGAAATCAACTTCGGGCTATTTGGTAGCATCAAAGTACGGCGGGATAAACTGAAAGACGTAGCTGCTGGGTCGCCAATAATCGTGAATAACGAATGTGACGACGAAATGAAGTAATTGAATGTTCAAACCTAAATTAATTAATTTATTTATTTTTTTATTTTTGCTGTATTAAAATAAGATTTATTTCAGATTTCTTTCAAACTTTTGTACACTTAAAATGGTATGAAATAAACATTTTATGATTATCATAACTCGTAATACATCATTTGCTCGTTAGAAATTAGTTTGTACTGAGGAAATACTCAATTCTCTTTATCTTTTATAATTCATTTGACTCCAGATATAAAAAATGATTTATAAGAACTATTTCTTTTATTCTTTGAAAAATAGACCATATCCAAGGGAAACAATAGTCAAACGTGCAGAATCCAAACTAGGATCGAACGACTACAACGGGTTAACATGGAATTGTGAACACTTCGCCACGTGGTGCCGATACGGAAAAGCCGTCTCAAAGCAGGTAAACAATTTATATAAAAAATGGTATAATCTAACGGCGGCATTAAGGTGACATTTGCAGTATCTTGTGGTCAAAACTTATTATCTTGAGGCCTCAAAATATTATCTTGTTACCGCAATTTATTATTACAAATGTATATTGATGCCTCAAAATATTATCTTGTGGCCACAACTTATTATTTTCATTGTGACCACGAGATAATATCTTGAGACCATAAAATAATAAGCTGTGGCTACAAGATAATAAGTTGTGGCCTCGATATAATATCTTGAGACCTCAATTCAATATATTAGGATAAAATAATACTACGTTCAAAGGTCACCTCTATGCCGCCGTATGTTTCTCTTAGATAAAACGATCGTTTGGTTAAAAAAGGTCGTGGCCTCAAGATAATAAGTTGTCGCCACAAGATTACAAGTCACGGCCTCAAAATAATAAGTTGTGGCTACGAGATAATAAATCGAGGCCAAAAGAAAATAAGTTCTGGCCACAACATAATATCTTGAGGTCACAATCAAGTAAGTTGTGGTCACAAGATAAAAAAACGTACTAGTAAAGCTTTAGATGTGGCCTCTATGCCAACTTAGGTAGTGGCACTGGTAGTCGTAGTCTTAGATATTTAATAACCTGAATTTTGTTCTCTTTAGGTACCATTCAGCAAAGGATTATCAAGAGATGCCTACGTAGTACAATTACACGGTGTTGAAGTTGTGCCACATGGGACACTCCCGGATGACGTCATTACGATTGGACACCACCCTCATTTCGGAATATTTCCTGTGCCAATATTTGGTGCAATATTATTACCTTTTGAGGCAGCTCTCGATACTTTGCACGAGTTGTTTAGAAAATAACGAAATGAACATTTGATAAAGTACATACGCGTCATGTTCTTTCTGTAGTATCGAACTGCGTCGTTAATTGGCCGGTAGATAAAGTCTGTGTGCCATACAATGGCGACAAGCCGTACAATTGACAACTGTTTCATTATTGATATTCTGATGTGTATTTACATACTTCAAGGCACCGGGAAAATATCATGACTGTTAAAGGAACCCCACCGGAGTCTAAAAGGCAAAAAAAAAACATTATATTTGAATTTCTTATTTAGATCAGCTGAAGCTGATGAACAAAACAAAATGCAAAGATATTGAGAAAAAATATTCACGCTTAAAGAAAACGGTAAATGATCTTGAATTTTGTACACAAAACGTTCTTCAAGTGGAACAGTAATGTCGTGAAATCATTCCAGGTCCTATAAAATATACACAAAAGTTAAGCTAAAAATTGTATGTCTGTGCAATTCTTAGCCCGATTTGAGTTGCAACGCTATTCAATTCTACAGAATAAATATTCCAGGAAAACGGCAGAAGTGAATGATCAGAAATTTCGTACGCAAAACCTTCATCAAGGGGAACGTTTATCTCGAGAAATAATTCCCTTTCCTGTCTTGCCATAATTAATGTCCCCTCCCGCCCCCTCCTTGAATTATCTGGAACCAAACTACTTAAGTCACAGAGACGGCAAATAGGCAATTGGTAGACTGTTGATTAATCTTATTTATTTGAAAATATATTGTTTAAGATTATTAACTGTGGATTGTGCTTACAATTAATCATATACATGTTAAACTATTGACTACAACTTTTAAGGAAACATATAAGACATTATTTAGTAGTTGTTTTTATCATCACGCATTGAAGTGCATGTTACATTCTGCTTAAGTCAGTTTCATAATGGGGGGAAATGGGGCAGTATGAGAGTACTGAATTGGAATAATTTTCGACAAAGTGATGAAACAAAATTTGTAAATAAAAGTACACACTCAACGAGTTGATACTGATCGTGTGGGTCAATAGATGTGCATAATCTCTCCATGTGTGGGGGTGAGGATTTATAATATGTTTATAGTATTGCTTTGTATAAATTTTTACGATGATATTATATCTACTTTCAAACCTGTCATGGTGTTATTTCTTTATCAACATGTGGAGATTATCTCGAGTTAGACAATGATAGTTTCTTTCTTTTCGTACCAAATATAGAACATGTGTTTTTTTGTAAAGAAAGCATTGAACCAAGGACTAGCTGGAGACGGTCTTCTTAATTAGTCAAGACAACCAAGATGGGTTACGTGAAGAATGTACAGAATCAGAGGTTATAAAGAAATTTTCTCTGCTCAGACTCAGATCACAGGTACATGTATTTGATTGGTCAGACTCTGCCACAGAATGTACACTGACCAATGAAAATCCCGCGATCTGGGCGAAAAGGCATTTTAAACTCATGGCCATTTAGTATATAGGAATAGGCATGAATACGTACATATAGTGAACGTTCGTGCCAAAAAAAATGCAAATGCACGGAAGGGCACTGGAGGTCTTCTTCCACATGTAAAGCTGGTAATTCGCCACATATGACCTTTACAGATTCAGTACGACGTAAAACCCTGAAAACCATACAAAAATTCAACAAAAGCCCAAATAAACACACACAAAAAATGTATGTTCATCCTTTGAAAGAATAGCACGCCGTGAAGACCACCACAGATGCACGTCTTTTCGGCAACTCTTAGTATGGCTTGCGTGCGTTTCAGCAAAACAAGGGCCATTCAAGGATTTCATAAGTCTCAAATATTATTATGTTTATGGCATTGTGAATGTGCGCCTGTCTTTGCACAACCCTAGCTATTCGATATCCTGTTTTGAAGAGGATGTTATTCTTTGGTTTCCATGGCAACAAAAGGTAGGACCTAAAGAAAGGCAGAATGGCATTATTTTCAAAATTTTGAAAGATTCATGCCAGGAACATTCCTCCTAAGTTTCAGCAATACTGGACTTATGGTGTAAGAGATGTAATATGCAGACTGATAGAAGAAAGGTCATCTCAAAAAGTGCTCATGTCAGCAAAAAAAGAATCCTAAATAAGTCTATGTATACTACATTAACCCAAGGGCATCGTTCACAAGTAAAGATTACATAAAAAATATCTTCAGTTTTGGCATTGTAGTTTCTAAGATGAGTAGAGAATCATAATAGAACAACAGATTTGCATCAAAATCGATACATGTAGCAAAGAAAAAACAGAATAAAATCTAAATACATGTAATTATTAATTTTATTACTTTTGATATGCATTATAAGGCTGTGAGCAGAAGCAAATTTCCTGACAAAAATTAGGTATGAAAATGGCAAAAGGACACCTCAGTAACACATGAGGAAAAATGTTATATGATGTGATTGATGTACATATAAAAAATGTACATGTAATGGTAACGTAATGTACCAGTTATAATAAAATTATGTTCCTTTTAAAAGAAACATGTGCAATATCATTTTATATAATTAGTTAAAATAATATTATGTTCTGGTCTATATTCTTACACAACCCGTATCTTTCCCTTTTGAACAAAGGACCGAAAGTGTGTTTTAACAAGCAATAAAATCATTGTTGACGTTCTATATTTAGACATGTGACATAATCATTAAAAATCCGACGCCCTGAAAATCAGTAATGGAAACAAATCTGGCACAATTTAGCTTAAAGGTCCATTATGCCCCAGAAATGCTTTCATTTCTATTTCTCAAAATCGTATTATTATTCTTGGTATACTTTCATAGTTTCCAACAAGTTACTCAATGGCCAACTATCTGAACTGTCTTCTTCTACTATCGCTTTTTGGCAATTAGTACATCTATAGTGATTCAAAATTTTGTATAGAAGTTAAAATACTGTTTTGTTTACATTTTGCTGCATTTACATGATTTATGACACATTCTTTTACATTTGACACTATTCTAAACTAATGTTTGACATTTTTAAAAAATTAAATAAGCCATGACACGACAAAACCAACATAGTGCATTTGCGACCAGCATGGATCCAGACCAGCCTGCGCATCCGCACAGTCTGATCAGGATCCATGCTGTTCGCTATCAGTTTCTCCACTTGTTATAGGGTTGGTAAGCGAACAGCATGGATCCTGATCAGACTGGGCGGATGCGCAGGCTGGTCTGGATCCATGCTGGTCGCTGCACTATGTTGGTTTTGTCGTGAAGCGGCTCAAATATTTATTCATTTCTGAGGCATAATGTGCCTTTAATATCAGGTATGGCAGCATTTATTCGTTGTTATGTTAGAATTGATATAATATATCCCAAGCAGTGATTTTATCGCTGAATAAAATCACTGTTTTTTCATTCGGATGCGCAGCTAAGCCCTCGTTATATATAATTCCTCACACAGTGATTTTATTCAGCGATAAAATAAATCAACATCACCATTTAATGTAAACATTTTGTGACATTATATATCATCACTTCAAGGATAGTTTCAAACAGATAAGCTGTTACTTTTTTATCCAGTTTTATCTCTCCTCAATACCTGAGATCCTTAGAAATGGAAGTGATTTCAATTATATACATGTATAACATTCTATATACATCACAAATTTGCCTTTTGATTTTAATTTTCAGCACATCAATTTCTTGCATTTAAATCTGTTACTCTCTAGTAAATCAATAATCTCCATTTTTATAATTTAAATTAAATATTGTATCTAGTCAATCAATCAATCAATCAATCAATCAATCAATCAACATTTAATCAATCAATCATAACTTCAAATGACTTTTAGATAATAGATATTGTATCTAGTCATATCAATCAATCAATCAATCAATCAATCAAACAAACAACATCGTTAATTGTTTATTGTGAATGCTCATCTGATAAGGACAAATCTGGTAAGGAGTCTGCTGTGGCATTCCATATACACACACGTCCATCTTTACTCCCGCCACCTGAGATCATATACCTGCAACAATTATATAAAACTGGATATATTTCTGACAATATCGGAATATATTTCTTACAATATCGGAATTATTTCTGACAATATCAGAATATATTTCTGACAATATCGGAATATATTTCTGACAATATCGGAATATATTTCTGACAATATCGGAATATATTTCTGACAATATCGGAATATATTTCGGACAATATCAGAATATATTTCATTCACAGATATGCTTTCTACTGTAAATCTAAAATAAACTTTTATTTTATTGTCGGATATGGTGTCAAATACATAGCAGAAATAAGATTTCCACTTATTAGAGCCATTAGGGCAAACTGCTTTGAAGTTAAGTGTGAAAATATATAATCGTTTCCTGTTTCAAAAAGCACTTTATTCCGGAAATTCAATGATTCATCATAAAGTATGCCAGCGCATTACGAATGGTGCAGCGCTGCTTTATGTAGAAAAAAGCAATAAGTGTTTATACTTTCAGTTTCGAGTTGATACATGTATACATTTTCAGTTTTCCAGAAAAGTGAATGTCGTCTGCTTCCCAAAAGTATATAAAGAAATGTATTGAGAAAGTAGCACAGTGTAGTAAAATAATTCGATATAAATTGCGCGCCTCTTCGTATAAATTTGAATTGTTCATATAATACTTGCTTTGATTTGATAAAATAAGAATCAAATGCAAAAGTTAATGACAGTATTTTATACGAATATTATTTCGTATTGATTTTAGTCATCTGCATCTGAGATTTATCGTCTGCTAGTTAAATTGCTGGCATAAAATGGTGATATGTTTAGAGATAAAAGGCGAGGAAGAGCTGAAATTAGGAGATTTAATCCAATTACCACGATTAAAAGGATTGTATTCACATTGGGCGGTTTACGTTGGTGAGTACATTAAACTATGTTATAACTTACAAGTATACATGTATAGGTAAGTGTTTATTAGTACATGTAATAAACATTTATAAAATTAAATTTGTCAAGAACGGCGCATTTAGTGATTGAAGTGTTTATTATCAGCAATCTGAAGTTCGTTTCTACTGAAGTTATTTTTTGCATATTTTTTTCTGATTAACACCGCATTTGTTCCGCGCTCATTGTGATTCGGAATTTTCAGAAAGCTATTTTGTAATCGAACCGTCCTTCACGGATAGGCATAAAACGAAGTATCAAGATATCGAAAAAAGTAAAACAAATAGCTGATTTTTGTTAGAAAAATGTTTGAAGTAATTTGAAACCAAATAAACTAGGAAAATAGAGTCAAGTTTTAATATGTTTATCTCGAAATCGTGAAAATTACCAACTCAGTATTGATTTTCCAACGGTTTATTAAGAATCCGCATCACTTTCAAAATTGTGAAAAGTCGCCGATGATTGCATGGTTGTTTGAAAGGTCGAGAGAAAGTGACATCCTATTGGTATCCGTCAGATCCTAATGCGAAGCTGATCTAATCAGATTGAATAAACAGTCGTCGATTTACTAGACTGTTTAATTATTAGCCGATTTACCATTTTGAAAGTAAAAAATGTTACAATTCACTTGAAATGATGATGAAAAAGACAAAGATCACTCGTATGCAAATGTTTTAAAAACATTTTTTACTTAAAATCAAAAACTATTATATATTAGAGCTGAAATATATACCAATTATTTCCATTCATATTTCCTGCATCTATTTAACAGGAGGGGGCGGGGCTATGTTATACACCTGTCTCCGCCGCCATCTAAATCAGGCACGTATGAACTGTGTTCTATGGTAGCAGCGACATCTGGCGTTTCAACTACTTCCGGTGATGAAATCAACTTCGGGCTATTTGGTAGCATCAAAGTACGGCGGGATAAACTGAAAGACGTAGCTGCCGGGTCCCCAATTATCGTGAATAATGAATGTGACGACGAAATGAAGTAATTGATTGTTCAACCCTTAATTAATTTATTTATTTTTGCAGTATTTAAATAAGATTTATTTCAGATTTCTTTCAAACTTTCCTACACTTAAAATGGTATGAAATAAAGATTTTATGATTATCACAACTCGTAATACATCATTTACTCGTTAGAAATTAGTTTGTACTGAGGAAATACTCAATTCTCTTTATCTTTTATAATTCATTGACTCCAGATATAAAAAATGATTTATAAGAACTTTTTTCTTTTATTCTTTGATATATAGACCATATCCAAGGGAAACAATAGTCAAACGGGCAGAATCCAAACTAGGATCGAACGACTACAACGCGTTAACATGGAATTGTGAACACTTCGCCACGTGGTGCCGATACGGAAAAGCCGTCTCAAAGCAGGTAAACAATTTATATAGAAAATAGTATAATCTAATGGCGGCATTATGGTGACATTTGCATTAGTATCTTGTGGTCAAAACTTATTATCTTGAGGCCTCAAAATAGTATCTTGTTACCACAATTTATTATTATATTGATGCCTTAAAGTATTATCTTGTGGCCATAACTTATCATCTTGTGGCCTCAAAATATTATCTTGTGGCCACAACTTATTATTTTCATTATGACCACGAGATAATATCTTGAGGCCATAAAATAATAAGCTGTGGCTACAAGATAATTAGTTGTGGCCTCGATATAATATCTTGAGGCCCCAATATATTAGGTTGTGGCCACAAGATAAAATAATACTACGTTCAAAGGTCACCTCTATGCCGCCGTATGTTTCTCTAAGATAAAACGATCGTTTGGTTAAAAAAGGTCGTGGCCTCAAGATAATAAGTTGTTGCCACAAGATTATAAGTCACGGCCACAAAATAGTAAGTTGTGGCCACGAGATAATAAGTCGAGGCCAAAAGATAATAACTTGTGGCCAAAAGAAAATAAGTTCTGGCCACAACATAATATCTTGAGGTCACAATCAAGTAAGTTGTGGTCACAAGATTAAAAAACGTTCTTTAGACGTGGCCTCTATGCCAACTTAGGTAGTGGCACTGGTAGTCGTAGTCTTAGATATTTAATAACCTGAATTTTACTCTCTTTAGGTACCATTCAGCAAAGGATTATCAAGAGATGCCTACGTAGTACAATTACACGGTGTTGAAGTTGTGCCACATGGGACACTCCCGGATGACGTCATTACGATTGGACACCATCCTCATTTCGGAATATTTCCTGTGCCAATATTTGGTGCAATATTATTACCTTTTGAGGCAGCTCTCGATACTTTGCACGAGTTGTTTAGAAAATAACGAAATGAACATTTGATAAAGTACATACGCGTCATGTTCTTTCTGTAGTATCGAACTGCGTCGTTAATTGGCCGGTAGATAAAGTGACTGTGTGCCATACAATGGCGACAAGCCGTACAATTGACAACTGTTTCATTATTGATATTCTGATGTGTATTTACATATTAAGGAC